TAGGTTTAAAACCTGGGTGTATTGTTCTAGACCTGGCTTACCCGAGCGGACAACTCGAGCCGAGGGGGGCTGCGTACCGGTAATCAAAAGATCATCCGGCTTTGCAACTTGTCCAAACATCGTTCTATTTGGGACATGACACTAACAGAAAAAAGTCATGACCAGCGTGCACTCCTCGGGAGAGAGAAAAGAGAGGTTTCGTAGTAGTTTATATATATAGTTCAAATAATATCAAAGCAGTAAAAAGCAACATTTAGCACATTAGGCCTAAACATGTAATAAAATCAGGCAATAAATAAAGCCAAATATAACAGTTATTCTAAGCTCGAATTCTTAAATCCTGAACCAGAGATTCCGGGTTCGATCCCCAGCAGAGTCGCCAGAGCTGTCACACCTCCTTTTTACACCCCCGGAAGGACATAAGAGAGTTTTTTCAATTAAAGGACAATCGAAACGTGATTTATTTATTAAAAAATTTAGAGTCGCCACCTGGAATAATTTATGGTTTCCCAAGTCACCGGTTTAGAATCCCGAACCGAGGAAAAGATTGACTCTATTTTACAGTCCGCGAACACAGAAATCCGGGTAAGGAATTCTGTTAACTCGGGAGAAGGTGTTAGGCATTCCCGAGTTCCGTGGTTCTAGCACGGTCGCTCAATTGTTATTATTGGCCTATTATCTGATTTTAATACATGTTTTAGCCTATGGTTCAATTTTAACGTATTAACCGCTTTTATTCATTTTTAGGAAGATTGCAATGTTATTAAAACACGTCTTGAACCACGTCACATAAATGCACCCGCAGTCCTCGACATATTTTATCTAACATTGTTAAGATTTGGATTTGGGTCGCATAAATGCGCACCCGAGTTTGGGAAGGTAATTTTAAGATTACGCACCTAAAGCAACTACGCGTTTTTAACTTTGGAGGGCCATGGAAAATTTGCTAAATGGAACGCTTCGAATTCTAAGGATTTAAAAGAAACAATTAAATGAGGGTCGCGCATCTTGAGATTTTATTTGGCATGGCGCACCTCAATTCCAATTTTAAAATGGGAATTCAAACTAAATTTTGGAGGGCCTTAAACTATTTGTATTAACTAATATGGCACACCTCCAATCTACTTTTAAAAAGCCCAATTAATTAAGGGAAATTTGCGGAACTTTCACTTGTTTAAGCTAAGGGTTCTACACTATAAGCTTAATAAAACACATTGTATGGGTTAATTAAAGGTTCAAAGGGAAACTATTTCAAACATCACTGAACGGACTTCTTTTTTAATGTCTTCAAGATTTGGGCTCAAGCCAAGCCCAATTTCTAACGAAGAAAGGCGCCCAGGGGTCTGATTGTGATTATTCTTCAGATGGGCCTGCGTTAGGCCCAGCTTCCAAGCTCCCAATTATTATGCCAATCAAGAATGTCATTCAACTGATACCCGCAGGGAATCGAAATCAAATTAGATAGTTTAAAAATAATTCAGAACAATTGATACCAAATTAATTAAACTAAAGCTCTGATTTTATTTTTTCCAGCAAGCATTTGGACCAAATCCGCTACGTGAAATATCCATCAATAACAATACAAGCTATTGGGCTCAGCAGACAAGCCCAATGTGTCCAATAGGCCATCTTCTCTTGTAAACGGCCCAGAAGTCTAAAGCTTCATGAGCCAAAGACTTGGAAAGCCAAAATGGAAATCAAGACTCAAGTTCGAGTCCTATCCAACACAAAAACTTCAACAGGCTATTAGCTCACCCGACATATCTAACGTCGAATTCACTGATAACAACAACAGAGATTCATGCTTGCATTTTAAATTCTAAACTAATCCCCACAAACAAACATAGGGAATTTAAGCTCACATAGACCATTTAAATGGCAATTCTAACTAAGTAAAATGCTGCAAAATTTTCCAAGTTGCAAAGTAAGACCTCAAACTACAGGAACACTAACTTGACATATTTAAACGACAGCATGTCTAACAATCCACTAATATGATAGGTTCCAACCCTTATTACAATGCCAGTATTCTGAGTTTAAACATCTATTCTAAATAACCAACACAGCCTTAAACCAACAGCATGAACAAACAAACCAACACATGCAAGAAAACCAAGTTACTACAGAACATGAAGAATTTAATGACATAAAGTAGCTAAATCTGCAGTAATTACAATAAGAGATTGTCTTCATTTAAATTCCAAATCAAGTTCCCGGATCTTTACACATATTCAATCAGGCTTCAATTCCATCACAATTTAAGGGCATACCTGGAAATTGAAATGGAAAAAGAGATGAAGAAGCAGTAGATAACAGCAGAACAAAAACACAGCAGTATGGATGCAACAGTGACCCCACAACAGCTTGAAACCCAGACTTTTAAAAACAAAATCAAACCATTTCTCAACACAGGTGCAAGAGGTGAAACTTTCAGAAATTCTAACTAATGAAGAAGATCAAAAACTCCCAATTAATACAGAATTTGATCAGTTTTATCAAAGAAAAATGCTGAAAATCAGTGCAGTTTCAGAATTGTTCAACCGTTTTTGTTTTCTCAGAATTTTTCTCCTCTCCAAATATGACTTGAGTGTCAAGTTACTATGCCTTTATAGGCAAGCTATTAGGGTAGCTTAAAGAAAATCAAGTTTGCACTTTGCACCTTTTAAAATTTTCATTATAGCTTAGATATCCCTAGTTAAAAAATCAGAAATTCACAACTAACCCCAACCCCAGCTTCCTAGAAGCTTCCCTAGGTAGTTATTCGGAGATTCTTTACCTAGACTACCAAAAATGCCCCTTAATATCCCTGTTTTTACTACAGGAAACCAAATGGGTCATGGGTAAAATGACCCAATGGCTAAGCCAGGCCCGGACTCAAAACTTAATTTAAGTCCCTTGGAGTGGATTCTTAAATGGATTCAGAGCCCAAATAGCAAAATAAATTGAACCAGACTGAGCAAATTATGACAAACGTAAGAAAACAACTAAACGATTTCACAAGACTAAGACCTAAACTAACATGCAGAATTGAATGAAGTTATCAAATAAACCTAATTAAGTTAACCTAGAAGGCTGAAAAAATAGGGTGAACCCAAAAATTTAGTCATGCTTTTAATAGGAAAATTAAACAGACCAAGCGACATCAGAGAACAAGACTTAGAACAGAAAACTAATAAAGAATAAACAAACAGTACTCCATCTCGGCCAGAAATTTTGGTCAATTTTTCAATTGAATTATCCCAAGAAAAAGAGAAGATGAGAAGAGGCAAGAAGACTGAAAGAATACAAGAAAGATGGAACTCACCGACCCAGGCTCGAACTCGCGACTAATATTCCGATTTAATCCTCAAATAATGTCAATCGCTTGTTCTTTATCAAGAACAAGCGAACAACATTATTTTGTGACAAAACCGTCCTTGAATAATTGAGAAAACTTGGAGGAGCAGCCTTGCATGTATGAATTTTGTCTTGGGCTTTTAGGGCTTGTATCTTTGCTTTAAGTCGAAGGGATTGAGAGGGATTCGAGGGATATGGGTTAGGGATTCGGAAAGAGGGGGTCATGGGGGTTTTAGGGTGTTAGTTTGGGGCGGTTTGGGGTGGCGCCGCCGCCCTAAGGCGGTGGGTGAATGGTGGCGGCAGATTAGGGTTCTAGTATCTAAAGAGGGGGGGTGGGTGTGAGAGAGACAATTGGGAGGGNTAAATTAAATACCAAATTAAAGGAAAACCAACGAAATTCAAATCTAAAAATTGAACAATGCAAAATAAACCAATTTTTTTTTTGATTTTTCAGTTTTGTAAGGCAAATAAATTACTACTTGATTTTAAAATGCAAAATTAACTCCTAAATGCAAATGCAACATATTTTTGCATTTTTCATAATTTAACAAAATTAAACATGCGCAGACAAATGCAAACAATAACAAAAAATGCTACGAAATTTGCAAATAATGAAAGAAATTATTTTATTTTGAATTTGTGGGAGTAATTCATATAAGGCAAAAATCACGTGCTCACATCTATTGCATTACTCATGAACTGACATTTACCAAACCTTNACAACATATTTTTGTATTTTTCATAATTTAACAAAATTAAACATACACAGACAAATGCAAACAATAACAAAAAATGCCACAAAAATCTACGAAATTTGCAAATAATGAAAGAAATTATTTTATTTTGAATTTGTGAGAGTAATTCTTATATGGCAAAAATCACGTGCTCCCACCGAACATCCCGGAAAATTAAAATAGCAGAAATAAATACAGAGAGAGCAGTTAATAGGAGATCAGAGCGTAAATTCTTAAAACGACCTGCCGGATCGTTATAGTTATACGATTTGCTTTCTATCTATCTTCGGTTTTACGTGTCATGCTACCATTCGATCATTTAACGTAAATTAGTTTACCATATACAACTAGTAAAAAAAGTATAACAGCTAGTTTTGGTACTTGTAATTTAAATATACTAGTAGGGTTGTACATTGAAAGAAGTGAAGTCTAAATACATACATCTAATGATAAAAAAGAAAATAAGTTAATATTTTTATATAAAAATGGAAAAACCATAAATAAAATTAACATAAAAAGACAAATGTGTATAAGGTATGTGTTAAAAGTTATTATAAAACTAATACCTCAAGAGTTGATGATAGAGGTTTGGGATTATTATTTTTTTTTTCGTGAAAAAAAAAATAAGAAGAAGAGAAAGGTCGAAGAAAAAAAGAAGGAAACAAAAAGGCAAAGATATCATAGGCACGTTTGTCGGCAGACATGTCCAAGATAGTAAAATGATAGGGCAAAACCAATTAGTAGTACCATAAATAGGCCAACAAAAATATATTTGACGTCATTATTGACGTCACTTGCTGACATCAAATTCTAGAAGAAGAAAAAAAAGAAATACTATATTTTCTTTTTCCTATTTGTCCGTGCTTCCTCGGAGTTTCCTGTCACGTTCTTATCTATTTCCTTCACCTCCTTCATTTCACTCTTAAATAGCCCTACCAACTTCTCACATCTTATCCAAAACACACACACACACACACTAAACTCTAATTTTAAGTTAAAATGAAGAAGCCATTAGTTCATGAAAACCCACGTAAAAATAGAGTAATCAAAGAACTGGTTGACGGAAAAAGATTTGCAACCCAACTTCAAACTTTACTTCAACAGCCTATTGCAGATCATGGGCCAGTTTCAGCTGATGAGCTTCTTCTCAAAATTTGGAGATCTTTTAGTGAAGCTATCACTGAGTTAAATACTTGGGGTTTAGCATTCCAGATCGAGGAGGTTGATCAAGCTGATTCCGGAGATCGGAAGTCCAAAGATTCTACTTCTGAATTGAAGAAGAAGAAGGACAAGCAAGGAGGGAAAGACCGTAGAGGTTGCTACAAGAGAAGGTAATTAATTAAGTATTTTTCAATATAATGTTGTGTTTGCACAGAGACGGAGCCATGATTTAAAGTTTAAGAGTTCAGAATTTCAATAATTTTAAATCATCAGGTTCTAAATTAACAATTTATACGTATTTAATAAAAAAAAAATTTAAAAAAATACATAGTTTAAATCAAAGTTACTGGATTCGACCGTATTCAATATGCTAGCTCCACCCGTGTTTGATATAGATTTGGCACATACCAAATGTATCTTTGGAAACTTGTAATCTCTAACCAAGCCTTTTTATGATTATAAGAACAAGTCATTAAAACTAAAATGAGAGCTTTAAGATTATAAAATAAAAGTCTTCAATTATAGAAGCGTGTCACTAGAAATGTGTCAATAATATTATAGCAACTTATCCTAAATTCCTAGCTAATTTAATTACCATCATATATAATATGCATGTTAAATTGAACTAATGAACTTAATTTGGGGTTTGCAGGAAAACCTCAGGTTCATGGATGAGAGAATCTGCAACAGTGGAAGATGGTTGTGCATGGAGAAAATATGGGCAGAAGAATATACTCAATTCTAAATATCCAAGGTATATATACTCAATCGACAAATTTTTTTATTTTTTTTTCCTTTTTTTGGAGCACGACAAATTAGGTCCAACTTTTTTGGTTAGCAAATCCGATTTTTTGTACATAGATACTATCTTTCTAATACTAATAGTATTAAAATGCTGAGAAGATCACCTGTGTTTTAATACTAAAGGATATAACCTTACTGATATTGTAAAGAACATTTTATATTCATAACTTATAACCAGTATGTATTCAAAAGGTGTCAAGTGACCCCTTTGCTGCAAAATTATGCTGTATAGTTAGATAATTTTTTTTATGTGTATATTATATAATGGTACCCTTTGGCTTCTTTGTTCTTTACCTTTTTACATTTGATCACCGTAGTGAAAATTTTGGCTCCGCTACTACTTATAACACATAACATATCATATTGTCCGGTTCACTAATCCTATTTTTATATGGGCATTACATGTAGTAGTTATATCTCTTAAGTAACTTGATGATGATGATGTAAAATTTTTTACAGTATCAGTGTAAAAATTGCTAAACTTAGTGAAACTAATTATGTTGGCCTCTTCTTTGTGGACAATATAGGTGCTACTTTAGGTGCACCCACAAGTACGATCAAGATTGCAGGGCCACAAAACAAGTTCAAATAATCCAAGAAAATCCAATCATTTACCACACCACATACTTTGGCCAACACGCTTGCAACTCACTAAAGATTACAAAGCATGAGATGATGATAATTTCACAATCCAATCATAATCCAATGGTGGAAATGGAATCTCCTCCTTTTGAAATAAAACCAAAATTGCCTAACAGTGATGCTATTCATGATTCAACAGTGAAAGAAGAAGATCAAGAATCCAATAAGGTACAAAGGGATGATGTTTCTAATGATGTATCATCAACCATGGATTCCAACCTATGGCAGAATTTTGCGCATGATTCTATAATGGCTGATCATTCTTCTTATTTTGAACGAATTATTTCTAGTGATATGGAGGATTTTGATAAATTTAGTGACTTTCACTTTGATGAGGCCATAGAGTTTTCTTGATTGTTAATCCTTATGACTAACATTGTAAAAATAATAATTCTGCACTATTTGTTAGTATTTCCAAATGGAAATGTACGTAGTAGCTTCTCCTAAGTCCTAAGTGTACTTTTGCCTTGCTTATCTTTTACTAAGTTTTACTTTGAAATGCACGAGAAGATAAAAGTAAATTAGAAATTAACGATTGTCTTTTCACGAGAACACTTGAATTAGGTTCAAAATTAAATTTTTAGAAAGGGCTTAAAAATATCCTCCTTCTACCTATTGGATTACAAATGTCCTTAACATTGTTTAGGTTTTAAAATGGTAAAAACTACATGGGGCGCTCTATTTAGTTGCCCCTTTTTAACCTGTAGCCGTTTTGTTTTTTTGTTTGCACCCGTATCCGTTTTTTTGTTAAAAGCCTTTTAAAAAGACGATTTTGCCCTTCTTTATTAAAAGAGTACTTTCTCTCCAAGTATACGCCAGTCTCTCTCTCTCTCTCCCATTCTTTGCATTTTTGATTTGTTCTTCTCTGAAATCAAACGGTTTTCGTCATTCTTTTTGATTTTTCAACTGTTTGTTCCCCAATAACATTACATATAATCACAGTTATATTGCATTAACTTTTTGGGTTTTATTTTAGTATTAATTTTTACGATTTAATTTTTGATTTTTGTTTTGATAGTCATGTTAGTTGAATTGTTTCCCTTTTCTTATTTATGACAAGTTTCCTAAGGTTTTACTTTGATTAGTGCATTAGTTTTACTTTTACGATTGTGTTTTTAGGCTTTTTGAACGTGTGTTTGTGTTTTTGATGAAAATTCTATAAATTCTCCAGTAATTTTTGGAGACGTTGAAATTTTTAAAATTTTTGAGAGTTAAATAGATGATACTATTAAAGTGTAAAGTTTATAATATTTCAAGGATACCTTAATTTTAGGAGCTGAAGTTTTGTTTTGTGTTTTGTGTTTTTTGTTATATCTTTTTATGAACTTCAGCATTATTTTGGAGTTGAATTTGTGTTCGCTGAATTTTTTGTTTTTTAACTGATGAACTTCATCATTCTAGGAGCTGACATTTTATTTTGTATTTGCTGAACTTCATCATTTAGAAGCTGAAATTTTTATTTTATATTTGCTGAACTTCAGCTTTCATAGAGCTGAAGTTTTTAACTGATTTTTTTGATAATGTTCTGACGTTATTTTTGCTATCTTTTATTTTTTTGAACAGATAGCATCTACGAAATCCAAATCACCTACAAATTCTAAAGCACCTAAACAACGTAGAATATCCAAAGGTCCTTCAGTCCCTGTTACTTCACCTACAAAATCAGGGGATAGATATTATGAGTTTCGAGATTGGTTTAACTGTCGTACTTACTGGAAGGGGAACCACAATTTGAAGAGTTTAATTGCAACTTTCTTGACTCCTGCACAACAGGAAAAGCTGAATAATGATACATTTCGGTATATTATGGTTATGGAGAATTTCAAATGCAGCATGAAGTTGGTTCATTGTTTGTGTCTTTCTCGAATATTCACTAATGATCGAGACTCCATTAGTTTCAAGACTTTTGGTCATGATGTATCGTTCACCCTTGAAGACTTTCACGTTATGTGCAGTTTGAGGATCACATCACATAATGTTGAAAATCTAAGTAAACGAGAGAGCACGATTCTAAAGCACTATTTTGGAAAGTCTAAGGGTGTGACCTTGAAGGACATTCGAGATTTTATGTCCCAGAATGAAATTCAAAAGGATGATGTGAATTTCAAACACGTATGCGAGAGTGATGAAGATGCTATGAAACTTATGAAAATTCTTGTTGTGGAGTCTATTTTGTTTGGAAAAAAGAATGAATCAACTGTGCTGGAGAAGTATACAACTATTGTTGAAGATAATAAGTCTTGTGCTGAGTATCCTTGGGGTAATGTGTCTTATGAGAAGCTCATTACTTCAATGAAACATGCTTTGGACAATTAGGACAAATATCATTCAACTGAGTATACTGTTGGTGGATTTCCATTTTCATTATGTGCTTGGTTCTATGAGTGCTTTCCAAATATTCGCAGAAGTATTTAAGAGAGGACGAGAACCTTGATGCCTTCCAGGTTCCCAGGATGTTACGTTATGTATGTGTACGAAAGCCTAAATATAAAGAACTTCATGAGGATTACTTCAGTAATTATGGTGTAAGTGAATGTTTTTATTTTTATTTTTGTAGTTGTGTTAATATGTTGACGTATTAGTTTTATTTATTTTCATAACATACTTTTCTGTATTAAATAGAAATATCAGGCGTTTAGGGTATTGGATATAATTCCTACAGAAGAGGAATTGAATTTAATGCTTTTAATTACACAATTACCATGCAGCCGAATTCGTTCAAAGGTATTTAATGCGGTTTCTTCAATTGGTGAATCACTACGTAGTCGGAGTCGATCAAAAGAAACCAATCGAACTTCTATAATTGGCGAATCACCTCGTAGCCAGAGTCGTTCTAATTATTCTACAATAGCGTTTGACAATGAATTAGTCAACACAATATGTTCTGTAAGTTTTGAGCTGAAGTTTTTTGTTTTTGTAAAACTACAACATGTTTTAGCTGAAGTTTTTGTTCTGTTTGTGATGAACTTCAATATTCTAGTAGCTGAAGTTGTGTTTTGTATTTGAAGAACTTCAGTATTCTTGTATACCTGAAGTTTTGTTCTGTGTCTCTATACTAGAGGGTAACGATGGAAGTTAAAAGGTATGCAGAGAAGAAAGACACACAATCAAGAAAGAAGTTGTCGAGCAGTTTCAACTGGATGAGCAATCTGCTATTGTGGATACGGTTTTGATAAAAGTCAAGGTAAGCTAATTTATAGAGAAGTCTTTTTTTTTCTGTTAATGTTAATCAGATTAATTATTGTTAGTAATTTTTTTCTAGGAATATTTTGATGAGAAGTTTGAAAAGTTGTTTAAGATTGTCGACAAATCAAATGGAATGGACTGTGGCGATTTTGATTTGATGAAGTATCGACAATATGATAGGATGAACGACTCGTTCGAACATCTATCGGATATTAATGCTACTTATGATGCACCGCATAAAGTCACAGATGAAAATGTTACATGTGAGTAAGAGGCTCTTGAAGACGATCAACGTGTTGAACAACAAGTTGAAGAGGAATGTTCCAGTATTGATAGACTGAGCAAGATGGAAATGATGAACAATTATCAACTGAGAATGTAGGAAGTAAGAGAGGTGCAGATGATGAAGTTGTTGATACTGAAGAAGATGCACTGAGTTGTGCTTTAGGCAGTGATATTGAAAAAGGCAATTTGTTTGGCGATGGAGATCATGCACCTGTTGGTACTAAAGAACTGACATCGAGTGATGTGCGTACCGCTATTGTGACGACCCGGCCAGTCGCCTCATGAATTACTGCTCTGTTTTCTCCATTTTTGCTTTTTTATGCTTCATTATCCATGTTTTGTGGTATCGAGTTGGTCAGATCGAGTCCGGAAGGAGTTTGGCAAAGTTTGAGACACTTAGTCTCTTTTAAGGGAGTTTAAGTTAGAAAAGTCAACCGTATGTTGAGTTATGTGTTAGAGGGTTTGGATGTGAGTCCCGATGGTTCAGTTAGCTTCGGGAGGTGATTTATGACTTAGGAGTGTGATCGGAATGAGTTTTGGAGGTTTGGAGTAGATTTGGGCTTGAATTGGCGAAATTGATATTTTGGCGATTTTCGGTTGTTAGGCGAGATTTTGATATAGGGGTCGGAATGAAATTTCGAGAGTTGCAGTAGTTTCGTTGGGTCTGTTGGGATATGTGTGCAAAACTTCAGGTTATTCAGATGTGATTTGGTCGGGTTTTTGATCAAAAGCGGAATTTGGAAGATTTTAGAAACTTAGACTTGAATCCGAGGTATTTTGGTTGTTTCGTTGTTGTTTGAACTGTTTTGATGATTGGAACAAGTTTGAATAAGGTATTGGGTTATGTTTGTACTTTTGATTGAGGTCCCGGGGGCCTCGGGGTGATTTCAGATGGTTGATGGAGGAGTTGAGATGTTATTGCAGCTGCTGAAGTTTTGCTGCTTCTGGTGTTTTTGCACCTGCAGTTTGGGGACCGCATGTGCGGCGCTGCATATACGATAGAGTGGCTGCAGAAGTGAATTATGAGGATTTGTTAGTGACCGCAGAAGCGGTAAGGATGGCCGCATCTGCGGAACCGCAGATGCGGAAGGTGTATGGCAGATGCGACTTTTGGGCTCTTAAGTGAATCCGCAGAAGCGGAGGATTTACCGCAAATGTGGTACCGCAAAAGCGGCGATGGGGCCACAGATGCAGAACAACTGTGCAGAAGAATTAAAAAGAGTCCTTCGCGAATTTTGGGTTATTTCACCATTTTTTGACTTCGACTTGGAGCTTTTTGGGCGATTTGAAAGAGGGATTTCAAGGGAATTACGTTAAAGTAAGGATTTTTTTACCTAAAACACATTTCTATGATAGTATTTCATGGATTAAAGCTGTAATTAAAGGAATTAAATGGCTAAAAATGGAGGATTATGGCATTAGTTTAAGAGGCATTTAAAGGAGGATTTGAGGGGTCATTTGGACTCCGATTTTAGTATTCTTGATATGCATAGACTCGTGGGGAGATGAGGAATATATTGATGTAAAAATTTCTAAATTTTGAGACGTGGGCCCGGGGGTTGGGTTTTGGTAATTTTGGGATTTATACCCTTTATTGATTGTTTTCGCTTGGGCTTCGTTCCCTTAGCATATTTTGACGTCCTCATTCTGATTTTAGGTAGATTTGACGTGCGTGGAGGCCGATTCGAGGGGCAAAGGCATCGCGAGCTAGAGATTTAGCCGGTTCGAGGTGAGTAGTGATTGTAAATGATGTTCTGAGGGTTTGAAACCTCGGAATTGCACATCGTAGTGTTATATTGAGGTGAGACACACGCTTCATGATGAGCGTGGGGTCGTGCACTATTGGGGATTGTGACTTGGTCCATCCCGATTGATGATTTTACTGCGTATTTGATTGAAAACTATTTGCTATCATCATTATCTGGGCTGAATGCCATATTTGGGCCTAGTGTCAATTATTTGAACCCTTCGGGAATTTTTATTGATATTTCCTCACTGTTTTGACTTTAAACTTGAACTCAGTCCTGTTATT